AGTATTTTTTGCATACTTTATTTGTATGTAAATGTATAAAGTATAATTACCAAAAATAAAGTAGAATACGTTATTATAAAGTATGGTTGGCAAGCCTAGTCATGTTGTTGTGTTTTAGTAATTCTCCTGGTTTGAAAGTTCTAACTTTTCAACGCTAGATGGCAGTAACAGTTCATTAGTGTCAAGGTTGCCATTTCGTAATTTTAAATTGTCGTGTTTTGGGATCTGGATTGCCGTGTTTTGGAATAAATTGCCGTGTAAATTTCTATTTATTTTAAATTAACACGTAAGATTAAACATGAAATAAAAACATTACTCTTTACAGTCATCATACAAATTTCGTATCGTATCCAAAACTTCTTCTTCGTCATTGTTCAATTTATATTTATTATTTTCCTTCATATTGTCTATCATTTGTTTTGTTGGTTTGAAATTTATACAATTTCCTTGGAATCAGATAAAGTGCTTAGCTAATAAAGTTAAATAAAGTAAATAAACATCAATATGTCTTTTAACGTACTTTTCAAAAAACGAAAGAATAAAATAAATACAATAAACAATGAAGTGTGCACGAATGTATGTCGAATTTGCGTCGAGATTTCTATGCCCATAGAGTCATGACTACGTCTATTGTAGTCTAGTTATGTGCGTCTTATCGACCGATAAAATTTTCGAAAAAATGAGTAACCATCGGATTGCCGTGTTTTAGAACACGGCAATTAATATGCTGCCGTGTACCGTGTTTTATTGCTGAAAAGACCCAAATTACCGTGTAACACGGCAATCGCCGTGTAAATGGTAACGCTCATTAGTGTGTTGAAGCGAGATTAACGCCATAACACTCCAATCCACTTACTTAAATTAAGGGGAATACTGGAATTTACAAAGAAAATGCATATATACGAGGTGTGTTTGTGAGGTAGAAAAAACAGTTAATCTTGCATTGTATTCATTCACTCTACACCATGCATGTACCCATTACACCCTATCTAAACTGCAGTCTAGAACTTAAACCCTCTTGATAGATAACCTTATAGCGGTGGGGAAGTGGATAAGCCATAGCTGCCTGCACATAGGGTAGTAGGTTATCTTACACCGCCAATAAATTGAACAAAAGGCGGACTTAAAGCCTTTCGGCGTTCTCCCCCAATCAACCCGGGCCGTGTGGAAATAATATGGTAGTGTGTAGACGTGTTACATAATTAGTAATTAGTAATTCGTGATTTACCATAAACTCGGAGGTAAAGTAAATAGTATGTGTGGACTAAAAATATTTCGAAGTCATATCTGAAGTCTGCAAAACACACGCTAGTGCGGCGCGGCAGACTAATTATTTCGTAACCCTGTCAGGAATGAAAGAAGGTCTGTGCCCGGTAGTGTAACGTTTATGGGCTGCAATTAACTTGTACTTTACCACTTTACCGTATTTCTAATAAGGTCGCTCAGAATATTCTTATGGCATGATTTCTTATCATGAAGGATTTAGCAAGGGTTAATCGTACTCAGATGAACTTTCGGCATCGGTTATATACCAGAGTACCGCTTATGAATCAGCTGAGGCAGCATTCTGTAGTTGAAGTCGATGTGGTGAAAATAATATGCAGCGTGGCTTTACTGCGGCACAGTATCCTGGGCCACAGCATCCATTTACCATCAGGTGAAATGTAGAACACGTTTGTCAACTAAATAAATGTAACAACTGGATAAAGGGATTCTCCCGATGCGGTGTTAGAATTTGCTTTAAGAGAATATTTAGACTGCAAGGCATTTCAATGCAGTACAACACTAGGCAACCAAGAGAGACAGCTCAGATTAATTTTACCTATAAAAAGTTTTCGACATTACCATTCAGTATCTCAATTAATTTTTTTGATAAGCAATGTAAAAAAGATTATGGCTACGTCTGTAGGTTTTATTTTATTATTTTGTTCGTAGAAATTGTTTGCTGAATGTTTTTTAGAAAGTTTTTTAGAAAAAAAATATTAAAAAAAAACACATTGGATCATGGTACTGCTAGATATATGTATCGTTGAACTATTAGATATTTTGTGTCCAGGGAGAAAACAGAGGTCTTTGTATGGACTAAAAGCCGCGCGCCGTTACTATCTTAAGGCTTTTATCTACCGTAATATGTAGATATTCACTTTAATTAACATTAAAGATTAGTTGTTAACACGTGTTTTATTGTAATATAATTTATGTATACAAATATTGTAAACTTGACATTGTACTACTTAGAATAGGACAGTTAGAACTCCAGAACAGTGTCGGGCGAAGACTGTACCTAAGTGTCAATCTCTTCTTCTGCATGTCTACGTTTGTACCAATTTTAAGGGTACATTCAGCGGGAAAAGTCAAGAGACCTGAAATAAAATGAATGACTATAAAAATTTAGTAAAAACATTAAAATGGCACATATAAAGAAGTTAATTTTCTTATAATAAGGTTGAAAAACATGTACACAGTCGACCTGATGGTAAATCAATGCATTAACAATTAAAATGCAGATGCGTTATCGCCCCTGAAGAGTAAGATGTAATACCTCGTTTACGGTAAAAAAAGAGATTCTGACTCTCTTCGCTCACCATACGAATCACAGCACCATTGAGCTGCTATTTTACTCAGGTATTCTGTGACAGCGTGGTCCCTTCCCCGGTTAAACCGACCCATTCGTGCTACAACTATATAACTGCAGCGTGACTCTACCAAGTATAACTTAAACTGGCTACTGAGCATGACGACTAAGGCAAGTTCTTCCAACAACGGGGGAGGCCCATGTTTTTGAAGCCATGACTCTTAGAAGCTGAAGAAGTAGAATATATTTCACATATTACAAACAACATATTGAGCTGTTATAGTACAAGGGTTGAGCGCTAGATATAAAATGCATATAACACAACGAAATCGAATTTCATCCCCGCTGTCACCAGGATTCTATTCATAGTAAAAGCGCTAATTTACCAAGTGCTACATGGTAGAACTCTTACTCATTTCTACCACCATGTAATAGTTGTGCGACCACTCCTCTCTTTAATTATAAGGGCTTCGTCTGTTGCAATTACGCATAGGTTACAGTAGCAACCTAATCTTGTATAATGGAAAGTCTCGTAAGGTAACATCAATGTTGGAGTTATTTAATACATTTCAAGGACAGTTAAAGACTCCCAATTTGTAGAGAAGCAGCTAGGTGGATTGATTACTGCCTATTAGTCAATTGAAAATGAGAAGAAGACTGAGCCCAGCTGTGGGAAGTATGATAAGAGTCACTTTAATTTCACTTAGATAATCTTAAGAACAATATTTAGATACTTTAAAATAATATTTACCAATTAAAAGGAAAATCAATTTTATGTGGTAATCATTTTTTAAATCTTTGGAACTAAATCGAAATCGAACAGGAATTAATTTATGCATAAGCATTCTAAAGGTAATATTCAGCAAAACGAAATGCGTACATGTAACGCATTTTCCAGGTGATTTTCCTTTTTAAATATAAATGATACCAGGATACGGATTTTATTTTTTTCCATTTTTACGGTCTAAACCATTTTCATCTTTTATGTGAACTGACCTTATCTCATATCTTATACTATCTATATATTTGAAGTACGTATATTGGAATGGTGAACTTGAAACAACTATTTGCATAGATGGTGGATCTATTGAAAGACTAAGTTTTATAGCATACAATCCATCGTTTGATGCTTATTTACAATTTGAAACACAAGCGTATAGTTTACCCAATTCGTTTCTTAGTTCGTTTGTGAGTCCGTTCGTTAATTATTTTACTAACCTCTTTGTGTTAATGAAATTTTTTTATACAGAAAGTTCAAAGAAATCATCGTCACATAATATCTAATTGCAGCAAAAGCATAATTACTGATTCCATGCGAAGGTGATCGAAGGTACAGCTAGTGAAATAAATATAGAAAAAAACTATAATGACACTAAAAAAATTTTTAGAAGTATTAGTAAAATTATGAGGGAGGCTTTCGTTCAGCAGTAAACCTGTGCTGTACTGATAGTACTTATTATATTAAGTTATAAACGCCATAATGGTTACATAGTGCCGTCCACTACCTTCACATTCCTGTACCTTTATCTTAACATTATGTTTATTTGTATATAATTTTTTTTTTAATTTAAATGACCCTGTCATATAAACCTTATTTATTTAATAGCTTCAGTTTTCTTTTCAAGTTTGCAAACTTATCAGCTTCGCTATGTTATATTAGGCAGAGGAGTTAAATATTATATATACCTCTGTAATCCAAACCCCCCCCCGCCCGCGCTTTTTTCAGTCCCCACAATCGCCGCGTCCGTGTCTCGCTAATTGCTTACCAAATGTCGAGTAGGTGTCACGCGCATTTGTTATTGTCCGCCATTTTGTGTTGATATTGCGTCGCTCGTGCATCTCGACAGTTATTTGTGTTTTTTAAGCTATTGCATAGCTTCTATCGCGGGCCTTGAGCGCGGGGACTGAATCCAGATATTCCGTAACGAAAAAAAACCTCACGCTCCCCACTCCGACGGGCACGGAGGTGTGGCGGTGAAAGCCGTGCATCGTCTAACGTCGTTTCAGTTCGGCAGACTTCGGCACTCGGCAGACTTCGGCACGGTGTTTGTGTGCGTGCGACTAGACGTATGCGTGTACACTAGATGCTAAATCAATGATAAAAATTCCTGAATAACCTACATGTATTGTAAGATATTAAAAATATTTTAAACAATATTAACTTCTCATTTATTCAATAAGAGAAAAAAAATTGTTTTCTTATCGGTCACCACGCTCAAAAAGTGTAACTTGATTTAATATCAAAGACTTAACAGCATAAATAAAATAAATAAATAATTATAATTGCATAAGTTGATAAAAAATGCTATGCAATAGCTTTACCGCGGCAGTCACCGAGTGCCACACGTATTTTTTTTACATCATAATTTCGACGCCAAAGAAAAGGAAACACGTTAACCTGACTATTTCTCAAAAATGCGAGATCTTGGATCAAATCAAGGAAGGTATTTCTTTTAGTTTTCTTGCGCTGAAGTATGGTGTTGGCAAATCTACGATTTTTTATATTAAGAAGAAGGAAGAACAGATCCGATCTTACGTGGTGAGAACTGAAAAGGGGCCAGGTGCTCGAAAGACTTTAATAACGCCCGAAAATCCACAACTTGAAGATGCATTGATTACGTTGTTTATAGAACAACGACGAAAAAACGTTCCCTTGTCAGGTGATATTTTGATGGAGAAGGCGAAATACTTTCATGAAAGGCTTGGGCGAGCAGAGTTTTCTGCCAGTAAAGGTTGGTTGGAAAAATTCAAAAAAAGACACGGAATACGACAACTCAAAATAACCGGCGAGAAGTTGTCTAATAACGAAGACGCCGTAAAACAATTCCAGGATAAATTCATGGACATAATCACGGAGAAAGATTTGTCCGCAGAGCAAATCTATAATGCAGATGAGTCTGGTTTGTATTGGATAACAATACCAGACAAAACGCTGGCATCTGACTTAGAAGTTAGAGCCCCAGGTTCTAAAGTTTCCAAAGAAAGAATAACATTCATGCCCTGTGCGAATGCTGCTGGAACGCACAAACTGCCTTTTTTGGTCATTGGCAAAGCACAAAAGCCACGTGCTTTTGCATCTGTACGAAAGCTTCCAGTACACTACATAGGGCAAAAGAATGCATGGGTGACGAGACCAATATTTCTAGAGTGGTTTAAAGAATACTTTATCCCTGAAGTAAAAAATTCTTATCAAAGAAGAATCTACGACTGAAAGCGATATTACTTCTTTATAATGCGCCATCACATCCGCTTGATGAAGACCTACAAACCATTGATGAAAATTTCACAATTTTATACATGCCTCCCAATTGCACAGCTCTCATCCAGCCAATGGACCAAAACGTTATTCAAAACATAAAGGTGAATTACAAGAAAAAAATTTTGCTTCAAGTTTTTGCACAACAGGAATTAGAATCTGAACGTACTGTATCCGATATCCTTAAGAAGACCACTATGAAAGAAGCTGTTTTCTCATTGGCTGAAAGTTGAAATCAGTTGAATGCGAACCTAATAAACAAATCTTGGTTACCCTTGTGGCCTCAATTAAACGTCGAAAAACATACAGACGATGACTTTGAACCCGAAGGTGAGGTTCGCTTAGCTTTTTTCGTTAACAGAGGCTTTTCTGAGGCTGCAATTAATGACTTCTTTCTAGGCAATGATGACCTAAATGAAACTGAACTTCTTACTGATGATGAAATAATAAGGCAAGTAACGCAGGAATGTGACGGCGAAAGTGAAGAAATATCGCACGATGAACCAGTAGCAAGCGTTTCCAATTCAAGCGCGGTGTCTGCCTTAAATACATGTCTTGAATGGGCTGACCAAGTGGACATTCCTTTGCCAAAAAAATGCTTTTACGTAAATTGCGCGATAAAGCTTTTTTATTTGTCATTAAATACCTCCCAACAAACTAAAATATTGGATTTCTTTAAAAAAGTTTAATAAATATAACGTTTATAGATGAATATATATTTTAAATTTCAAAATACTATAAGTTTTATTCCATAAAAAATAAATATATTTAAAAAATAATTATAAATTTTCGGGGTTAGGATAAAAGAGGTCCTGCTGTATGGGACCACACGAAAAGCACCAGCTTTTAAATAAAAAAGAATCATGAAAATCGGTTTACCCATAGACAAGTTACGAGGTAACACACATAAAAAAACTTACAGTTGAATTGAATACCTCCTCCTTTTTGAAGTCGGTAGAAATACAACTCGCAATTCAAGCCGCGACACAATCGTAAGCGGTTTGTGACACCTGTTATAAAGTCCAAAGTACGTATAGGGAAAAGTTTGCAATTACATCGTATGACACATACATATCTAATTCAACATAATTTACAAAATGTTCTGTTAAGAATACAAGTGAAATTTATCTGAAAATTATAGTTTTAAACACCTTTAATTTATGTAGTTAGGATCGTTACAATGCATTGTTATAAAATATTTACATATATTATCGTGTACTTAAGTTATTTATAATAGTGGAAAACTCATTACTACTTTTAAGCTATTGCATAGCTTCTATCGCGGGCCTTGAGCGCGGGGACCGAATCTAGAAATTCCGTAACGAAAAAAAACCTCACGCTCCCCACTCCGACGGGCCACGGAGGTGTGGCGTTGAAAGCCGTGCATACGCCATGCATCGTCTAACGTCGTTTCAGTTCGGCAGACTTCGGCACTCGGCAGACTTCGGCACGGTGTTTGTATGCGTGCGACTAGCCGTATGCGTGTACACTAGCTGCTAACTCAATGATAAAAATTCCTGAATAACCTACATGTATTGTAAGATATTAAAAATATTTTAAACAATATTAACTTCTCATTTATTCAATAAGAGAAAAAAAATGTTTTCTTATCGGTCACCACGCTCAAAAAAGTGTAACTTGATTTAATATCAAAGACTTAACTGCGTAAATAAAATAAATAAATAATTATAATTGCATAAGTTGATAAAAAATGCTATGCAATAGCTTTACCGCGGCAGTCACCGAGTGCCACACTTATTTTTTATTTCATGATTTCTAAGGAGTATGTTTATCTTAATTGAGACAGAAATTTATAAAAAAAATACACTATTACACAGGTAAATTTTGTTTAATAAAATATTTTTAAATAAATAACGTAATTTTATGTTTCGTTGTCGATAACAAAGAAAAAAATACTATTACATTACGAATGTTATTGTAAATTTCAATCAATGTTAATATGAAAAATCTTGAAAATGTGTTTATAATATTTGATTAATAATTTTTTTTTGTTTACCTGTGGTTGTGTGAATTGATTCTGTAGTTATTACATGTGTAACTTGTCATCATTGTAGTTACAGCCTATATACGTCCCACTGCTGGGCACAGACCTCCCCCTCATTCCTGAGAGGGTTTTAGGGCAAGGAACCTCAATGCGTGTTGGCGAACTTCACATGTCTTCGAAATATTTTTTTCTTATTACTCAGACATGCAGGTTTTCTCACGATGTTTTCCTTCACCGCCGAGCACGTGGTAAATCAGCACTTAAAATTGCAATTAACAATTACATTGCTGCAGGCGGGGATCGGCCCCGGGTTATTCACGTTCTGTTAATGTTTACAGCGAGCGTTAACCATCTGAGCTACCACGGCCCATTAATCAGATCAAATATGTGCGCAGGAATTGCACGCCTTAATTCTTCCCTCTCCTTTCCAACATCGGACGACCAGGCAGTCGTCGGGTCTTCACCCCTTTGTTGTCGATATTCTACGCATTAGAACCAAACGGTTTACTTCGACTTTTTAATGCGTAAAGCAGAGTAGTGAAATAATTTGCCGACGTCTATCTTTCCATCCGAATACAATCTAGGTGTTTTCAAAGCAAGAGTGAATGGGCATTTGTTACGTTAAGACAGTACGATTTACCATCTAAGACTGCATCACTACTTACCACCTGGTGGGATTGTGGTCAAGCACCGGCTTATAAAAAATATTATTATTATTATTATCTAGGCTATTAAAACGTCAAGTCAAGGGGATGCAACTTCTGTACGTAGTACTATTAGTTATTCTGCCACATTATGCATTATTATCTTTTTATTTCTGTTTTATTGCCCATAAAATTGAAACACCGCGCATTGAATGCAAAATAAAGACCGTTGAGCGGCCGCATTACAATTGTAAAGATGTCGTTTTTATTCTCCTATAACTCGGAAGAAAATTTAATTTTCATATCTCCACGTTGTTGAGGTTATCGGTATCTTCGTTAGCAAATTATGAAGTATTCTATAAACTTTGTCAATTATATACTTTATAAATATAACATAATCAGAAGATTTAGCGTTAAATTCGTTTTTTATATTATGGAACTAGGATGATAAACGAGCACAAAGTCCGCTGATGGTAATGGATACTGTGGCCCATAGGCATCTAAATGTATTTGTAATTATGAATCGAAATGCAGATGCGTTATCATTTCTCACCCATGAGGACTAAGATGGAATTCCTCGTTTACCAGTCATAAGTTTCTCCGGTTCTCTACACTCAATATACGAAACACACTAACAATAAACTGCTATTTTACGCTGGTATTTTGTGAGAGCGTTGTCCTATCCTAGTCGAGCCGAACCATTCGTGCCGTAATAGCTGCAGCTTGGCTTTACCACATACAAAGTTAAATAAATACCGTTTCAGGTTGAAAAAAAAATGGTACGCAAATTACTTTAACTTCATAAGCAAGTTAAATAAGTTTGAGAGCAAGAAAATTTTATTATATTATTTACCACTTTAATTATTCTACGCTCCTGTACGAAGCTTACCCCTTTGTACTGGTGACGAGGCCTTCCATCTTAGTCCACAAGGTTAAAAACGCTCTTCATTTTGATTCGTATTTGAAGATAAATGTGTATGGGCCACAGCATCCACTTATTATCCGGTGGACTGTGTGCTCGTTCGTCACACATTCTATAAAAAAATCTTACCGTAAACATTAGGTACAAAACAACGTTAAAATTTAAGGTATGTAATTTGGACAGTATCAATGCGATTATGAAAATGTAATAACGATATTCTGTCGCTAAAAATAAATTTTCAAACTGGATGATACGACGAAGGAGTTCCTTTTAACGGTAAACGCGCAAACTTGTGTCTTCTGGGGATTGAACTAGACTAGATTTAGCCGCCCACAATCCGAGACTTTGCACAAAAATGTCTCGACTTCAGACAAAGTTTTCCCGGTATTCAACGACGTTTTCCGAGAAATATTGGCACGAAAGACGTATAAAGCATCACTAGTGCCATCGTCTGCATAGCAATGAATGTTACCGGTTTGCAGCTGCCTTTGCCCATTTATGAGTTAGTTAACCCTGAAGATTACAAGCTCAGCGTCCACGACGGAAACCGTACTGGAGGTTACTAACCAGCAGATGATCCTCAAGGCACTGCATGAGCTGGCTGTTATCAACGATTATTTTAGAGAATAAGGAGGTGATGGCAATAGGTTACCTTTTTTAGGAATCGGGTGCACGAAAGCTATCTTCCATGATTTCAAGACTAAGCCTAGAGTGGGAGTACCGAAAAAGATGCGTTTACACTAGTGCAACTCTGGCAGCACATGTCTTCAGCACATTAGGAGGGCCATTAGACTTGTTGTTGTACAGGAAGAGGAGTATTCTACGCACTGAGCGTTGGATAAACAGTACATCCTGCATCGAGCACTCTCACCGCGGGATGTGTGACGGCATATTCCCCCGTCATCAAAAGTCGAGTTGGATGCAAAAAGAGAGCCCAGCACATCGGTTACGTCCTCTGCGGCATGGGTCAGAATGTCATCCTCCCTGTGCACAGATGGGAAAAATCGCTGACAGAAATTCCCTTGACAGGCTTGGCGAGAAACCAGAATGCACGTGTTCCCAAAAGAAGAGGGAACTACTTTCTTGCCAATTATGTTTATATGCTCTGACTTTTGCCTTTACAATGACACCTTTGAAGGACCCGAAGGCGGAATTATACTTCTTTTTAAGAGCGCTGTTATTTACATTCCGAGACATTGATGCGCGAGCCCAGGCCTGGTAGCACTCTTGCTTACGGCGTAATGCATTTTTGTACGGAGCGACCAAACCATGGTTGGGTTCTGCCTTCGATAGATGCCACAGATGATAGAATAAAAGTTCCATTCCCTGTAGCACCACATCAGCGACTGAATCAGCAACAAAGCTGGGATCATCCGATGAGACCCGATCAGACCCGCCTCCGAGGGTAAGATGCAAAAAAGATCGCGTCCCGTCCCAATCGGCTGACCTATAATGCCAAACCCAACCACGATGGAAGCGTAAATGGCACTGTACTCAGGATCAGACAGTGGTCCGAGGAGCCAAGAGGGCGTCGTCGGAGACCGGATATCTGTCCGGTTGAGAGGTTAGCAGAAGGTCCAACAGGGAAGGCATATGATCTTCCACATCTGGGATCCACGTTGGCGAAGTAACCAATTGTGTCAACCCATATGCCAAAGCAAAGACATTCGGCGTGTTATGCGTTAAATCACCTAGTATCACGATCTCTGCAGATGGGGCCTATTGTAGCACGGAGTTGCAGCCATTTGGACGTGGTTGATGTGTCGGTCTGTGTCGGCATTACCGCTATGGGACCTATAGAGGCACCCGCAGACGCGGGGATGGTGGTCACTGTCTACGTGCAACCGTAAGATGGAAAAGTCCGTATGTTCAAGGCTTTCGAGGGGTTGAAAACAGATGTCCTCTCTGATGTACACGCAACTCCAGCCCGGGGCACAAAGGAGTGTTCTTATTTGTATCCCGGGTGGAAGAGATACGAAGTATCATCCGGAGAGGACATCTGTGGCTCGGTAAGAAGGAGGCTGGTTTCGCCGTTTCCAGATGGTAGTGGACGGCGTTAAGATTTGAATGAAGTACCCTGATGTTGCAGAAATTCACGGATAGGGTGGCGGGGGCGCCTGACTTATTGCTCCTTTTGCCCCAGCGGGTTTAGTCTCGAGAAGAATTTCACCCCCTTCCCACCCTAGAATACGCTGGGCAGCCTGACACCTAAGCTCTGAAAGACTAGGGTAGCTTGGGCGTGGATGCTAAGAGAGAGATTCTCCGTCATCGGGGATGCTGGTACCCTCCTGGGGGTAGTGTTTTATTTAACTTCGATACCATGTTTAGGGAGGGGGGAGATAGGGCCTCCGGCCACCTGCACTCGCTAGACGAAATGCCGAAGCAGAGCTTTTACTTCACGCTGGTTTTCTGTGAAGTTGTGGTACCACCCGGTTCGATCTGGCCCATACGTGCAAAGCAAAGCCTGCCGCGTGGCTCTAACACTATCAAAACCTATTAATTAGGTGTGGCCTTAGTCGATGTGTAAAGCATGTCATATGTAGAAATATCTATATGCTTGAAAGAAACATTCTATAGATTTTTATCACTATTTGCAATTGATATTAATTTCTGGAAGAAGTTCTTAGAAATGTCTGTTTGTTTCTAAAGCAAGTAATATACGACTTCGAGAGCTACGATTGGTTTTGAACGATTGATTCTGAACAATCACTTATTTGAAATAGAACTTTATTACTTTGGTAATATCATTCGTACAAGTTGATCCGATGAATTAGTTGTATTAAGGCAATGAAATGAGTTTACTGAGTGCGCTCTAGCATAATTACACAAAACAGGAACTTTGACGATCGTAGCTTCTGAACGTAGCTATAACTGTTCATATTAAGTCGACGCGTATTTTTTTTTCATTTTGATATGAAAATAAAAATGAAAAATAATTTATTTGATAGTTATCACTAACCAAATAATTCAGCAGTGGTTCCACACTAGGCGCGCAGACCTGTATCGTGAGAGCCACGAATTATATTATATAATAAAAACGGAATTAGTGCACGGCAGACTTTAAAAAGTTTTTCCTTACTTTAAATATCTTCCTATTTTTATTTATATACAGAAGTACATGTATAATTTAATAATATTGATATTTCTTTGACTTTTAAAGAATCTGTCGTGGTTAGCGATGTATAACTACTCTCTACTCAATTTTATCCCATGAGTCTCATAAGTGGCGACTATGGGAAAGGCCGTAAATATGTCAACCTTCATTAATAACGCATAGTCCACCTGATGGTAAATGGATGCTGCGATCTATAGACATCTTCATCTATCTTCGATCTCTTACGCCACCATCACCCATCATTTGGTATTTAATTATTCTTTCGGAATCACTTGTGTGTGTTAGTATAATGAAAAGTAAATTGTAAATAGATTCTCACTCCCTCGCAATCGTAATGCCTATCTGCAGGATTTTGTGTAGTCTTTACTTAGAATTAGGATTTATTTAGGATTTACTGCGATATAACAGCTAAAGTTCTAAAGGCTTGTGCCCCTGAGTTGTAGTAGTAAATGTGTAGTTGGATGATAGGGTAGTGGATGTTTTTTCACTGCCACTGCACTGTAAAAATCTTATTGTGTTTGTTGCTAATTTCAAGGAATGAGTTTAGCGTGTTTAACAATATTTTATCAAAGTATACACTTTGCATTAAATGCTATTTGAATGTAATGAATTGATTAGGATAATATGAAAACATTTTACGTTATATTCAGATACTATTCCGTTATATTTTATTAAAAGATAATAATATTTTCAAATACCTGATTCTTATGCTATTTAAAGTGTTACATTATTGATTTAAAAATCTTATTTGCGATAAAGTTTGATAACATAAAAAAATAAACATTTTCTATGTATGTAGAAAGTGTCTAGGCGTAGGGTAAAGTCATTTAGTTATCAGAAAATTATATTTAATCTTATTTTTATTTGACTTATTTCAATGATCGTACAGTGAAGGGATGATATTTCTATTTGGTGATAAAACTCTATCAAAAATACAACTACTATCATATTGTAATGTGTATCTCAATATTTTTGTAGAAGGCTATGGGGCAAAAAAGTGTCCATAGTGCTGCTTCATGTGCATAAGTGAACTTTACTAATCCTCGACATATTATTTTTTAGACATACAGGTTCCTTACGAAGTTCTCAAACTTTACATCACGATCTGAAATCGCCGTTGCCACAAAGGTAGATTAATTGGCTATTAATCGGGGACCTTAGGATCTTACTGTCTGTTTCTATTAGTATACCCGTGTCCTTAACAGCGTATAAATATTTATTGTCACCTCTCAACGTAAAGGAATGCTCTACTCTCGATATATTGCCACACCTCAAATTCACTACATAAAATCGTTTACATACTTTTAGCTAGACATCAAATCCGTATTATTCTTAAAGTTACAATAACTACAGATACTGAATTATAAGATTAGTTTATTTTCTAATTGATTCACTTTAAATTACATAATAAAAATGTAATTGAAAATATATATGGACTGCTGTCCGTTGCTCTGTACGTCGGTGAGTCATCTCGTTTAATAGAAATGTAAGCAATGGATTGAGATATTATATATTATTAAATAAGATTCCGTGTATTTGAAGGAAGATTCCTATTGTTTTTGATATTTAACTCAACACCGTTTAAAAGATATTAATGAAAATTAACCAGATTCTCCGTTTTTTTTTTTTGTAAAAATTGTCGACACTAATAGTATTAATTCATAAGTTCATAACATAATAAAAGTTTAAGGCGTGCACTTTTGGATTTTCCAAATATTATTTAAATTTATAATCTTTAGTACTTTGCAGCACTTATTTTGGGGCTGACTATAAGTCAACCGATACCTGACCCAGATCCTCAAATTCCTTGCGGGGAGTATCCTCCATGTGAACCCTGTGAGCCAGTACCTCCGTGTGATCCTGGTGATCCATGTTCACCTCCGTGGTCTGTTGATAATAAAAAGTCTGTTGATAAAGAAAAATCATAAAGATTGTTCCTTGCAATCCTTCTGAGCCGGCTGTTAAATATTTTTATGGTCGGGCACCCCAGGGTAAGAATAATATATTTTCATGCAAAATAAATCATTTAAAAATAATCCAAATTCAGTAAAATAGTTTAATACATTATGAAGTAATACATTTAAACTAAAATAAAGCTAAAACTTAACAATTTACAGGTTCAGTGGTCTTAAAACCTCAATCAAAGGTCAAATTCGGTTTCGGGCACCTCCCTCAATAACTGTCCGACCAGGAGCTATCCGTCTGCCAACACCACCTATTATCTGGGTTAAACCACCACCAGTTCAAACAGCTGCCCCCGCTTCAATATACGTGAAGCCAGACCCAGTGCAACCACCTACCCCAGCACCCATTGAAATTAGGCCTAAGCCTATGTACCCACCGCGGCCTGCTCCGATTGTTGTTAAACCTGCACCGGTTCAACCACCAAAGTCTGCTCCAATTAAAGTATGAACTTAATAACAGAACATAATTTAAATGAAAAGAAGTATGATTTTTTTCATTTAAATCGTTACACAATTTTTATTATTTTAAATGAATATGCTTAATACAATGTGAATGTTTATTATGTTATTCTTTAGAGACGAAGTATTTAATGATCAACTTTCAGGTACAGCCTCCCACAATACAACCACCGGCACCGGAATTACTAGTTGTGGAACCTCCCAGGATTACAGTACCGAGCCCATCCATCATCTGCTTCCAACCAAACCCTCCATTGCGCTTTAGGACTTCAGGCTGCGCGGTCGTTTCATTGTACCAGCCTCAACCACCATGTCCATCTCCATGTATTCATTCATATGCTTAGAAAACTAACAAATTATCACATGATTAAATTTTTAATTAAATATAATATATATGTATAGAATCTATTTTATAAGCCACATTTTTACAATTTGCAATGCATTTGAGCGGCATTGAAAAAAGTGGGGTATATTCAAAAAATCACGCAGTTTTGTTTAAACTATTTATCCCAACATTGATTTAGAAACGTTTGTATGATGTTTTCTGATATTCAATGACAAATCCACATCTCATGCATTAAATTACATAGACAGGCCTGCGACGTTTCTAGTAGCTCCTAGAAATATTACTGCATTCATTAGGTCAGCAAAAAGAAAAGTATGTTTAGTTGATTAAAACTACTTTTGCGGATTTTATCGCGTTTAATTTTGATCATGGGTGACCATGGACCATGGGTGCTGGAAAGCACCCGAAACGTCGTGAATTAAAAATCAAGTAAATTAAACGCGATAAAATCCGTAAAAGTAGTTTTAATCAATGTGTAGTGTTCGCGTTAATATAAGAAATCTGTATATTTAGTTATTTATTATTAATGCATGATCGTGGGTTGACGGCGAAAAAGAATATATCGCTCGAATTATCTGGCGGGTATCGTATGAGACTAGTATGTGAAATACCAAATCTCATTGCTTGACTTAGATGGCCGTAAAATCGTCTCGTATATGCCAGATAGAACATAACATACATTTATCAGCAACAGGGTTTGAGTTCGTGCTAAACGTACGGTACTGAGCACTGATATCACCAATCTTTGAGACAAGTGTGGTAATTATAAAAATTCATCTAACTGTAGTAGAGGACTGTACCCAGAAGTTACTGAGCGTTGAAAGTATAAAATTCTTAGTAAAATTTAAATTTAACAGAACTATCTGAGTTCTTAAAGTTATATATCGACGTTTTTTTTTAATTGTATCTTTAGTATTAGTTTACAATACGAGAAATAAAACGCGCAAAGGCCGTAATTTTGAGATGCAACAAAAAAGAGAATTGGTAGCAAATATCTTATTGATAAGGGGGGGGGGGCACTGCCAATTGCGACGATTTTTTATTTAAATTTATATTGAATATATTAGCAGCATACCTCTGATGTATGTTCTATAAAGTTTATAATAAAAAAATAATAGAAAATACTTTATTTAGCCTAATAAACAAAAGATAAGGTTTATATAGGGGTTGCTACGCATTTACTCTACGTGACAGAAATCTCAATTTGTGCTGGTTTTGTGATATTAAATTTATGACTTTATTATATAGAAAATGACGAGAAATGGAGATTGTTTTTATTGACATGTTATTACATCTTAGTCCTAAGAAGTGACAACGCATTTTCCTTTTGGTTCATAATGCACGTGATGTAGGCTTAAGGTGTATGTGAACTATTTCGAAATCCTTTCCGATGCACACTAATCACGATCCTTCATAGCCTCAAATCAGCTCTAATGCTCGAACGCACTTTAAATTTATATTTAAGTAGATTTGAACAGATACTCGTATTATGTTATTTTTATAAATTTTATTTGACAAATGTACGGACATTCTATTATGTAATATCTGCAACAACTTCAAACAAAGAAGGCTACGTGGCAGTGTTTTGTCACCCTGAAGACAAATTAGCCTTTACGCTGACAATGCAGTCGTCACTGTTTGTAATTAACCGGGCTCTGCTGAAGATCATAGATATCTATTTCTATTTTCAATTAGCATCAAACTCTAATGCGTTTAAGATGAAATGCCTTGTTTCGTTACTAGTAAGCCTCAGGTTTCCGATACGAAGTATACGAAACACAACAGCATTACGCTGGTGTTTTATGTCGGTACTGGATACTTAGTGCATGGTTCACCCTTCGTCGTGCCGCGTTCTTTTTCACAGTTGCAGTGTGTTTTACCACATGAAATCGTTATCAGACTCTCAGAAGCATATTCACAAGAGCAATAAGGTTAGGTTGGGATTAGAGCGCCAGGAATCGTCAAAGGTCATGCGGTCGTCTAACAGTGGTATGAATAAGTTCATGTAAAAATATAAATTTTAAGTAAATGTCGATCCGTTTGGTTTTAAACCAGGATCCCCCTGATAAAAAACCTTGATGATTTACCCTGAACATATTGTCCGGCGGTCATTTAATGAATTAATTAGGTGAGCGTGAAATAGTCACATCTAAAAAAAGGATTCGTAATATTTTCACAAGCATTCTTGCAAAGTAAAGTTACAGCCTATTCATCATTTTTTTCACTTCGCTGCTCAAGTGTCATCCAGTTATTTTCCTCTGCTGTTTCTACAATGTTTATTTTTCTCCACCGAGGACGTAATAATTACGTATTCAAATTGTTACCATTACCATTCGTGCCTGCGGGAATTGAACCCGGGTCGCTGCGTACTGTGAAATTTACAGGAAACAACCCCTGAGTGACAACGGATTCTCCTACATACTTAAATCTATCCTTACTATAGCTTGTTTATAAAAATTACTTACGAAAACACAAACAGGCAAACTTAGCTTTTTGATATTTAGCTTTAGGACCTTTTTAATGTTAATACTTAACTTTAAGTATTAGCAAATATGGAGTTCTCAAGGAAATATAACGTAACTTTGATAATTCTATTGTTGCCATTTGATAGCCAATGAAGCGATTCAGTTTACCTTTGATCGTTTATACAATTTAAAATGTCGTTGATGCGAATGAGAACCTTTTTTCCCTGATTCATAAAGAATATTATTCAAGTAAATATTATTCAAGTTAACGTAGGTGAGAAATCGATGATACTAAATCTTACTAAGATAAACTTTCAGTTCTTCAGTCAGTCAATTAGTGTTTGCGTCTCCGCTTCAGCTCAAAGTGAAATCCGATGTTTCTTTAATATTTTTGTTGATTTTCGGTGAGTGCATATTTCTTAAATTATTTTAGAATATAACATAAAATAAAATTAAATATAATATTAACGAAACTGATAAATTTGAAAACTTGAAGAAAAACTGAAGCTGTTAAATAAATAAAGTTTATAATTCGGGGTCGTTTAAATTTAAAAAAGCACTACATATCAATAAACATAATGTTAAGTAAAGGTACAGGAATGTGAAGATAGAGGACGGCACCATGTAATAATTATGGCGTTTATACCTCATTAAAGTAAGCATCATTACTATCATTATGCATAGGTCCACTGCTGAACAAAAGCCTCCCTCATATTTTTACTAATACTTCAAATTTTTTTAGTGTCATTATAGTTTTTTTCTAAATGTATTTCACTACCTGTGCCCGCGACCACCTTCGCGTGGAATAAGTAATTATGCTTTTGTTGCAATAAGATATGTGATGATGTTTCTTTGAACTTTTAATCGACAAGACCCCATTCTGTATAAAAAAATTCCCACGGCTGGGCTTAGTCTCTTCTCATTTTCAATTGGCTAATACGCAGTAGTGAATCCGCCTAGCTGCTCTCACGCAAATTGCGAGACTTTAACTGTCCTTGAAATGTATTAAATGACTCCAACGTGGATGTTACCTTACGAAAATTTCCATTATACAAGATTATTGGTTGCTACTGTAACCTATGGATAATTGCAACAGACGAAGCCCTTATAATTAAAGAGAGGAGTGGTCACACAACTATTACATGGTGGTAGAAATGAGTAAAAGTTCTACCATATAGCACTTGGTAAATTAGCGCTTCAACTGTGAATACAACTCTGGTGACAGCGGGGATCGAATTCGATTTCGTCGTTTTATATGCATTTTATATCTAGCGCTCAACCCCTGTACTATAACAGCTCAATATGTTGTTTGTAATATGTGAAATATATTCTAATTCTTCAGCTTTTAAAATTCATGGCTTCAAAGATATGGGGTCTCTCCCATTGTTGCAAGAACTTGCCTTAATCGTCATGCTCGATAGCCAGTTTAAGTTGCACGTGGTAGAGTCACGCTGCAGTTATATTATAGTTGTAGCACGAACGGGTCGGTTTAACCGGAGAAGGACCACTCTGTCACAGAATACCTGTGTAAAATGGTAGCTCAATGCTGCTGTGATTCGTATGGTGAGCGAAGAGAGTCAGAATCTCTTTTTTACCGTAAACTAAGTGTCACATTTTAGTCACTCAGGGGTGATAATGCATCTGTGTTTTAACTCCTAATGAATTGATTTACCATCAGGTCAACTGTGGCCATGTTTGTCAACCTTATTCTATATATAAAAGTTAACTTCTTTTTATGTATCATTTTAATATTTTTTTACTAAATCTTCTATTCTCATTTAAAACCATTTCAGGACTCTTGATTTTTCCCGCTGAATGTACTCTCAAAATTGGTACGAACGTAGACATGCAGAAGAAGAAGTTGACACTTAGGTACAGTCTTCGCCCAACACTGTTCTGGAGTTCGTCTAACTGTCCTATCTTGGTAGTACAATGTCAAGTTTACAATATTTGTATAAGTAACTTATATTACAATAAAACACGTGTTAACATCAAATCTTTAATGTTAATTTAAGTG